TTCATTATTTAAATGGCTCGAAGGGTGACAGTTCTCTGGGCTGTACTCAATCAGTGATTTAAACTGTGCATTTCTGTGACAACATGTAGGAAGTGTTCACACGTGAAAGAAGGGATTTGTTTATTTTTTTAAATTAATTTTTTTAAATGTAAAAACCTGTGATGCACCTTCTCAAAATAAGTCAACCAGCTTTCCTTACAAATTACATGATATTTTTTTTTCAAAGTTATATGGTCAGATTTCTATGTTTAATTATAAAAAAGTGATGGATGTCACTAACGTTTTCCATGTTTGAGAAAAAAGATAGATGGCAGAAGCCAACTTTTTTTTTGGCTGATGATAAAATAGGTGGTGGATTAAAAAAAGAAATTTTGCAGTTGTAGACCGAAAACACATTTCAGAGTAGTCAATCATCAACCTAGGCAGACTGATGCTTATCTAAAAGTGCAGCCTTTTGTATAGCTCCAGCTGGTGTAAACACACTATGTATTAATACAGTAGTTCATTTAGCATCAGAATGAATCTGGAATTTGGGAGCCTGGTTCCTCATGGGTGAACAAAGGCAAATTACTTTACCTTGATGTTTCCTTTTTCAAGCATAAGTTTTGTGGTTAGAGAGAAACTTTCCAAAATGTAATTGGTTATGCCAGAGAAGAATGGTATATGGTGGTGTTTTTGCAAACTACTCTTTGAATATGCAAATATTTGCATATGTACTTGCAAAGTCTTAGAAGCTCAGTCTGGGAGCAAAAATATTTCAAACTAGCTGATAGTGGTGTGCTGCTTTGTAATCAGAAGGTCCAGGAGCTCACCTAGCTAAAGTCGAATGCTTCCGCTGTTTGTCCTCACAAATTCTACAGTGGGTCGCAAATGTGGCTTTTGATTAAAAAGCACAATAATATATTAAAATTAGAAATGATGGAACCTGACAAAGACGGTACTTTTTTTTGCTTCAACTAGAAAAATCGAGTCTGTCTCTAGGAGGTGTGAGGTGGTCTTAAATATTTCTTACTGGCTCCTTTTTCCTCACATTTCATTTTATAATCCTCTGATGATCTATACAGTATGTTAACCATTTATAGTCAGTAAATGACAGCATAATCAAGTCCTTTTCTCTTACTGTTTTTTTTAATCCATCACATCACCCAATAATTAAAAACAACAGAGTGATCCTGTGCTTTCGCATGTGTTGAACCGGTGCTGATCTCAGAGCTGTGCTGGCATGGTGTCTGAACATCAGCACTCAAAAGCAGGAACGCGCTGGCTGAGGACGAGAAAGAGCCCTGCAGCACTGACTCCATGCAGAGTGGGAATCAGTGCTGGCTAGGTAGAAAGGAGGGAAAAATCCATGCTTTCACATTTTAAGGCATAAATTCAGCTCCCTTCAAAGGGGGTACAGAGGTTTTTCCCACTTGTGTTACCCACAAGATGAGCAGGTCAGCTCCAGTCTCAGTTTAGTGTCAGGTGTGCATCCTAATGTGGTGCTCCCCCTGCTTCCCCAGACAGACAAGTTTTGTGATCCCAGACAACCCTTTCCCTGTCTGATTACTGTGATCCAAGCAGGAGCAGGGCAGGTGACCACTGCCAATGCCATTATTTTCTGTTAAAATGAAATGCTGGCCGTGCATTTCCACTTGCTGAGACTGCCTTCTCGTTGCTGCAATGTCCCTTTTGATCCACGGCAAGCAGAGAGGGTCCTGATCTGTACCCAAGCAGGACTGGGACACATGCCTGTCTTCAGGCATCCCTGCTCTGGTGACTTGACCACCAGGTAGAAGAAAATGGAGCTACTTCCAGGCAAGCTGGCTGAGGACCTGAAGCTCAGTTTTAGTGAATTTATTTACCCTCGTACCTAAGCGCACGACACACTCGCTCACAAGCCTCACAGCACATTTTTGGCATCTTGTATTCTTTCCATTTCCTCCAAGTGCATATGTATCGACTGCTCTGTACTCATAACACCCTGGTGTTAGAAGCTATCCAGTGGTAGGAGGAATATACGTAATCCTGTTGTCTCTGCCGGTGGTTGTAGGAGTGCATCTATCAAACAAAATTACTTATGGCCATCGGGGTTTTCTAGTGATAAAACCTAGCAGTAGTATGACAGAGTGAGCATTTTCCTTTTCTTCTTGCTTGGATGATATTTTTATACACTTTTATATGCAATTTTTTTAAATATTTGCTATTTTTATTGTAGGGTTCTGGTTGGGTTTTTACCGGACCTTCTGGTTGTCTACAGGCCCAGATTCTCACAGGAATATTTCCCTTCCCTTTTCTCCTCCCCCTTCTTCCCCGATAGACAAAAGCCATTGCATTTGCAACATCAGCTTAGAGCAAAATAACACCTAGGGCCCGATCACTCTTTTAGTTGCACTGAAATCAAAGGAAGTTGCATGCAAAGTCCTGCTGGTCCCACCGCAGCATCTGGGGCCAAAGACTAAATAACCGAAACATACACAGCTAATCACGCGCAGGGCAGTCTGTGTAAAGCCAATGCATCAGGGTAGTGCCGTCTTCCTTTGCTGTGGTAGGAGCTGCTTCCACCACGTGTGTTTAAATAAGACTATGTATCTCTCTTCATTCTGATGACGCGACTTCTTGTAGGCAGTTCAATCAAAGTCATACCCTAGCACACCGACTACCTTCAGCAGGGAGGAAGGGTGGACACTGTGGCTTATCTGTGACGGTAGATTTCACTGCCTTTGTGGTTATTCACTGCCTACAGTGACAGGGCCTAAATAAAGTTAAGAAACATTAAACCCATAGGAAGGAAGGATAAGGGGAAATTAACCAAATTCAAGGATCTTGGTCTTGTAAAATAACCTTTTCTCAGCTGGCATTCTGCAGGGAATTCTATGTATGAAGTTGAACATAAACTTTAGAGTATGTTTATATTAGCAGAACCGCGAACGGAGATGTCTTTCCTGAACTGAACTAAAATAAATGACAGACACCTGCTCTCTAACATTTTTTAAGGAAGAAAGAGGCAGGTTGTGATGCTATTTTGCACCAGTGGATAGAAAACACGTTAAAATAGTTTTGCTGAAAGCAAAACTCAACACAAGTTTGCTCCTGGGACTGGGGGTTAGGGTAATTAAAACCTATTTGGTTCGTTAAGATTCACAAGGAAAAAAAAATGCAAAACTGAAATGAATGATGCCATATAATGCCAAGTATTCTCAACTGTTCTGAGAATAATGTTAAACAATATGTATTTATTGTTAGTTCCTTACTTGAAAGAAGAGGCTTGTGGTCTCTAAATGTATAAAACATTTTTCAACATTCCAGTTTTTCTGTGACTGAGTCCATGTATGTTCATCCTATTACCAAATAAAACCAATGAGGTCTCCGCTCCATTTGAATTAAAGTTGTAGAAGGGCTCATTTTGTTCTGATGCTTTCAACATGTGATCCAGGCATGACACTTGCCGTTTGCTTTCCAGCATCCAGCTCCCCACACAGTACTAGTAATAATCAACTTTTTTTTTAAGTGTAGTGGGAACATTGCGTGGACAGCAGTCATTGCTCACCGCTTGCCCCTGTGAGGAGGCCTTAGTGGCATTACCTAATTTCTAAAGACGGGGAAATTGAGGTAGAGAATTCAAATAGCTTTTCTAAGAACCCTGTGGTAAATCTCTACCTGTTTGGGGATTAGATGCATCAACCTCACCTTTCCCCTTTTCTCTTTTGACTGAAATCACAGCCCATAAGAGCATCTAAACCAACAACAGCACATCACACTCATGCCCACTGAAACACTTGCTCCTGTGATTTTTTTTTCTCTGTGCCACTTGGATCATAAGTATGGCTGGTGTCCTGTGCTTTGTTTATAGGTGTGTATTGCTTATAGACCTCCTTTCACAGCATTTCAGCTACATCTCTACATACCGCCTTCTACAAAGTATCTTACTCCACAGGTAGACTCAGGCAGTGTCTGTGCAGTAGTAATCACACCACACAAGTAACCACCAGAATTTCCCTGTACCACTGCTGTTTTTCTATCTGATCTTCTCCTTAAAAAAGAAAAAAAATCATGGTAAAGACTGGCAGAGACCAAGCCGTTCTCTCTAAGGAGAATGTAAAGTTTAGAGATGTTCAATACAAGCGTGAAAGGCTTCGTGCGATCCCTTTTCCCTAAAATTCCAGTTTTAATTCACTCCTTTCCTCTCTGGGAGGTTCACTGGTTTTTATTTCCTGAAAAACATCTAATAAGCTCGCCACTGTACCTGCTTGTATTCTTATACCTTACCGGCTTGGTTTGAGTCTGCATGTACCTCCAGTCCAGTGCAAGCAAAGACAAAGCCAAGCTGCCAATTCTTGTTAGATATGGAGGGTGTTGATGTAGTCAGCTGTGGTCTTCAAATCAAAAATCCTGACTGCCACATAAGCAAGAAGGGAGAAAAGATGGTTTGGAAAAGGCATCTCATGATCTGGGTGACTCACCTCCGCTTGCAAATAGAGTATCAGAGCCCTTTCTCTGGCGCGTATAGCCAGTTGACATAAATGTCTGGAGGCCTTACCAACCCGTGGTTCCCAGAGTGATACCAGCCGCCTGCTGAGCCGCCACAGAAGCAAGGTAAGTGCTGTGTAACTGCCTTCGGAGCCGTGCCAGGCAATAAAACTGGCAATTGCCAGTTCTGTGAGGACACAGAGGTAGCTGAAGGGAAAGCTGTCTGACACCTGGCAACAGTTCATAGGTCCAAAACTTAAGAACGTGACGCTTCCAGTGTCAGTAACTCGGGTATCTCCACCCAAACCTGGTAACTGATAAAAAAGAAGAAAATTATGTTTGATATTGACTCCTTTAGATGGAAAGGTCCCAGAAGTGAGTCTGCTTTCCCAGTTAGCCTCACCTAAAGCCATGGATAAGAAATGGCAGAAAGAAGACAACAAACACCTTGTGGTGGTGTCAGAACTACAAAATGGCTGGGGGGCCCAGCCATGGTTTCACAGTTTCATGGTTTCATCCATCTCTGCTGAAACTACTCTTTCTTTTTAAAGGTCCAGCGCGACGTTCAGCTGACTTACCAGGCTCAGGTTCCTCTGCAAACCACCTTACATTGCCAGGTCAGTCAGTACCACCTCACTCTAATTTGCTTATATGGGCAGTTTCAGAAATAGGCACTCACAGTGCCTACCATTTGGGAGACGGAGATAAGCAGATGATTTCTTCTCCAGGTATTGCATGACTTTTACACATCACATTAAAAAAGTTAAACCCATTCACTGGGGTTGAACAAATGAACTGTTGTGTTAATGTTCTTTATCACATTTCAGTTTTTTTAAACACATACCTTATGTTTTATGGCTTGCAGTGTAGGCTTTACAGACTATTTTAATTTGATTGGAAAATTAATTTGGGCCTTTATCACATGGACATAGATGCTGAAGGCAAAAAATAAGGCTGTTTGGTAGACCCAAGTATAGGGGGTTTTGTGCCTTTCCCACCTACCAAATCCTGCTATTTCACCACAATAACCATTTTCTTAATCTCTTCATCTTTGTCCCACACAACTGTCAGAAGAAAGGGAGGGTAATATGAAGCAATGGCTTGGTATGAACAAGATACTATCTTGTATGTGCATATGCAAGGGCATCCACATACGTATAATTCACAGTAGATGAAAGAGGAAGTCTGCAGGAAGACAACAGGAAATCACCAAGAAAAAAACCCCCAAACTTCAAGCAAAGTACTAAAAGGTTTTACTACAGATGTTTTTATCAGCGGCTGCTGTGCCAGCAGATGAGGTATGGTGTGGCTCCATATATAGATGCCAACGTGCGGTAGCATGTTTCTGTGCTGTTTCAGTTCTCCAAGCTGTTCATGGCGCAATGCTCTTTTGCAGCCGCCACCTTAGCAGATTGTTTCCCCAGGCACAGCTGCAGCCACCGCTTGGGTGCAAGTAAGGAAAAGAACGA